CCTTGAGCCCGTTGCATTTCTGGGATAGGCTCCAGCTTCCCCGCCACACTGAATTGGAAGAAGCGGTTAGAAAAACGATGGTTGTCTCATTAAAAAAAGGTGACCATATCAAAACAGAACAGACAGTTAGGCTACAGGAGAAGATATATTGCCAAGCTGTACCTAAATTTCAACACCACAGAACACAAGCAAGTGTACATAAAACAGCAGTAAACCACAGCTGACATTAATCTCCAGTTGAAATGTAGTGTCTCTCTGAGCTTGCTGGCACTAGAGCAAGGGGTGTGGAGGGAGCTGACGCCTGCACATGGGACGCCTTTCCACATCAACAGCAAGTACCTCTCTGGCCAGCTCCTCAAGTCAGCTGACATTGCTAACAGCTCCTCTGACAGAGTCCTCACTCATCTCTCATCTTTAGAGCATAAAACGATTTTGGGAGAACAGGTGATCAAAAAACGACAGAGATGCAGATGCATAGATAGCTAGGACATCTTTTATCTTAATTACCCAACGGATTGCCAGTGGATTGAAGCCTTAATTAATGGCTAGCTGAACAGGTTCTGTGAAAGCTGTGAGATTGTGGGATAGCTCATGGTCCGCAGGGGGGGGAAGCGATACCCTCCCTCTCGATCTCGGTTCGCGTTTCCAGAGGGCCCGAGAGGAAGAGGGAAGGGATGTGAGATGGACAGTCCTGGATGCGGTTTCCACTTCCACAATTCCGGACGCGGACAACAGCCACCCAGCCTGGAGAACACCCCAGGACCGACCTGCGAGTCCGAGTTAAATCCAGAGGGCGCCAAGAAGAACTCCACTACTACTCAATACCTCACCTCGCAGTCGATGCCACTGCACAACAGATGGATAACTGCAACAAAAGCTGCACTGTGAAACATAAAATGAGACAAACTGCAACCAACTGCAGGGTGAGACTCACAGAGGAGGTATGCGCCTGTATTATCTGGGCTACTTTCAGCTTGTCCGGAGACGGGCCTAGACCTAGCGAGGGAGCGCTCTCATTCCCGAGCTCCCGCTGGATCGTGCCGGATG